AGCAAACATTTTCCTACAAAATGAGACGTCGGCCAGCTATTTCACAATAGCTAAAAGTTGTCTAACAGATTTCGAGTTTTTCATGAATAAGAAAATTTTTTTTCAAGTTTTGACATGAGTAGCTAGCATTAAGTCTTATGGAGTTTTTAAGCACACTACTAAAAAAGTTCATTTGTGCAAAATAGGAGAAAAATGTCTTTTTTCCATAAGATTGGGGAAATTCAAAAATTAGGCACATTTAATTTTTTCTATTTCTACATATGGTTTGATAGAACTCGACGAGCTGAATCCGAATATATGTTGCAATTTTCAGAAAAACTTTTTAGTGGGTCAAAAATAAAAAAAGCAAGAGAAATCAAAATTACCAAAAAACCGTCTAATTTTCAAAAATTTTCCAAATAGCTTTTGAACAAAGAGTCAAGAATCTTTGCAAATTTTTTATCCGTAATCTGCGTGAAAAACTGAATAAGAAAACCGTTGTCTGAACAAAATCGCCGTTCATTTTATGTTTGAGATGGGAGCTTTTTGTTATTAGAGTGAAAATTCCGCTTCCGTTCGCGCCAAAAGAATCAACTTTTTTCAGAAGCGATAGAGTGCCAATATTTTTACATGGTTGTGGGGTTGTGTTTTCGGGGAAATTCGCTTTCATTCCTCACATAGTGCAGTTTCTCTGGACCCTCCTCTATTTGCCTATAATGGGGCGTATGATTTGCCAATAACTCAGCCAGTTTTCATTCAAATACAATGAAAATTTGGATTTATGGGTAAAACGTGATGGCGAATCCGATAGAACCGGTTAAAGATACCACAAAAAAACCATTAAAGGATTTTCCAGAGACCCGATCTACAGAAAACTTTTCACAAATTTTTCAAGAGCTAAATAGTATAAAAACGCTATAGATCGATAGAGAATAGAATTGTGAGCAAACGAGACCTGTCCGGCGTTTTTCGCACTTCGAAATCATAAAAAATTCCTCAAACATCGTTGAATCTGACTAGTTTATTCAAAAACAGCTATGAATTTTGAGAGTGGAAGCGTGAGGAACGCCGGATAGGTCTCATTTTGTTCGGAATTCGATTCTCTATCGGTCTTTGCAATCGATTCTCTAAAATCTTTGCAACTTTTTTATTCGTAATCTGCGTGAAAAACTGAATAAGAAAAACGTTGTCTGAAAAAAATCGCCGTTCATTTTTCGCTTGATTAACGGTCATTTCGCCTCATTAACGGTTTTTCGTGGAATATTTAACCGGGTCTATCGGATTCGTCATTACTTTTTACCCATAAAGATAAGCCACAAAACGTTTTTGGAATTTTCTCTAGTATCTATAAATTTTCTTCTTCTGTTACTGCTTTTACTACTAATATTGCTCCTGCCAATCAACTAAATGCAACACAAAGTAAACTAAGTTCTTTTTCTGTTTCAGTAACGGACGTTAGTAATATGATAATGTAAACAAGTTCAGGAGTTATTAGAATTTTTATTAATACTTCACATGCCCGTTGTCGCTGATTTTATTGCCCTGTGAGTCTCACACTTCCGTACCAAACATACCAATAACACCATCTCTGATGCCCTGATTCATGTCCGTAGTACGGCTAACTGATGATCGTTGAACGGTTGTGACAATAGCATTGTCTATCTGTTTTTCATAGTTGCATCGCTTCTCGTTCCATAAATTCAAGCTTCTACCCTCACAGCACACAGCTGAGATCGTACACTGTTCATATGGCGTGACTTTTTCGAAAATTTAAACTGTCCTTATCGAGGATACACAATCTTGCCTAAAAACGCCCTAGGTTTATAAACAAACAAACAGACATTAACTTTTTGAGACTCTCACTTCTAGTGATGGGAATAACCCTCAAAGCATTACTTTCTGTCTAATTTCATTCACATGAATTCCTTTGTTATCGTACTATGGGTCTCTCGCTCTTCTCTTTCCACTTTAATTCGACTAACCTGTTCCTGTTTTAATTTCATAACTGCCTTCCATAACCATGAAACAGACAGAATGAAGAAATAAATTTCTGGTATCAGCGTTATAACAAATGTAAGAATTAAATTAACATTATCGATTGTTACGAAATATTGAACGATGGTTAGGACACTCCGTACCCATCCTAAGAGTCCGAATCGATTTTTCACGTTACCTAGATAAGGTAACAAATTGAAATATACTCCTGCAATAATCATCAATAATCTATACAACTTCTAAAAAAAATACAAAATAAAGAAGAAAAAATGCTCAAGTTTAAAGCATTGGCTGGAGGAGAAAGGATTCGCGCTTAACTATGTAAAAACTGACCTACATTGTTAACTGTATTTTCATAATCTAAAGTGCAAATTGAGATTATAAAAAAATTTGAGCGAGTTTGAACGTAAGATAAAATACAGCATCGCCATTATAACGTGAACATCTACTGAAGTTGTGTCTTGGACTGACAGATAGACAGAGATACAGCAGGCGTAGTGAACGAGTGAACTCGAGAGACAGATGAAGAGATGAATAGACAAGCCACTAAACAGTCTGAGCAAATGCTGACAACTGACGGCTAAATCATTGAAAGGATGATCATTCACTTCAATTTTCCGAAGAGATTGCCACTTTGTCGAGGAATTCTTCAATTTGCAACACAACGGCCGAGATAGAGAATGAAGAGGAAGTTGACCGAAAATGACAGAAACGAATAAAAGACAGGACATTGAAAGAAATCTGAATCAAGATGTCGTGGCACCCGCACCCTACCATATGCCTATTGAGGTAGTGAGAGTCAGAGTGAGAGCACTCGCATGAAGAGAGAACGCCTTCTGGAGTTGTGTTTTGGACAGGATCAGGCCGAGATGCATTAGTGATAATGAGGCAGAATGAGAGAATAAAGAAATTCGAGGGAGGCCGAAGGCCGACCAAAGGGCGCAGTGGAACCAAGGGCGAGAAGAAGTGACAAACTACCCTCGAGTGACAGCAAATAATGAGAACTGACCGCTCAATCAGTTCAGTTGGCAAGGAAGGAATGATTATTCCGTGCAACGCTTCAATTCTGAGAAGGAGATTGCCATTTTGTGGAGGAATTTTTCAATTTTCAACGACGAATCAAGAACAACCAAAGTCAACATTCGCACAGAGGAACAGAGGAATAGAGAGATTTCCTTAGCTCGTTTATTACTTTGCCATTCGTGTGTCCTACCCATTCCGAGTGATACACGGCGACAAGTGATAACTGATTGTTCCTGATTATTCTTCATGACTATTGTTCACACCATTAGCTGGCTCGCTAGCAACAAAGGAAAGCGTTTGCTGATCATTGACGGTTTTGTCTTCCAATCGAACAAGATCTCAGCTAAAGTCACGTACTGGAAATGTGAAGTGAAAGAGTGCGGAGCGACAGCTCACACCGATTCAAACGATCAGTTGATCAGACAAAACGGAGAACACACACACATCTACCATCACCAGAACGTATCGAAATTCGATTACTGAAGAAGTCTGCGAAGGATCGAGTGAAGTCAGAAGCGATTCCGATTACACAGATTTATGAAGAAGAACTGGCACATGCTCACCTTTCCATCGCTGCTCTTGCCACTGCTCCGTCTAGCAACGAGGCCAGTAAGTATTTGTTCGACGTCTCATCTCTCTCTCTCCATGATTCACCTAGGATACACATTGAACCGAATTCGTCGGCAGAAAGCTTCGCTTCTTCCAATCTCAATCAACTTCGACATTCCAGAAATTTATTCAAAAACGTTGGACGGGAAGAATTTCTTAATTGCGGATACCACTGCCCACAAGAAGCGCATGTTGATTTTCGCTACCGATGATCAGCTACGGCTTCTCTTCAAGAGCAAACATATCCTTATGGATGGGACTTTCGATACTTGTCCAACCTTGTTTAATCAAGTATATTCTCTTCACGCAATCAAGCAAGGTCAAAGTAGGCTATTAATCTCATCGCTCTGTTTTATACTCATTTCTCATAGGTTTCGTTTGCGTCGTTGCTCTATTGTGCGGACGTACAGCAAAGATTTACAACGAACTCTTCTCCGTACTCGATGACCATGCTAAACGTCTAAATTTGAAGTTTGAACCGAAACGAGTCACCAGTGACTTCGAAAAGGCTCTTATCAAAACGGTCGCCGAAGAGGTAAAACGTTCGGACAGCGTCAATTGACCTTCTCATTATAAATTATATTAGTTTTTCATCTATATTATCTATATTATTCCCATTCTGTGACCAATCAGATGAAAGTTTCCGAAATGAAAGTTTGTCTGTTATAATATAGATTGCGCAGTCAATCATGCCCTTGGCATTCCGATCGTTTCAATATTAACTCCATGATCATTTGCAAAATCCTTTACTTGATTATAAAAATAATCACCAGCAGGTTTTGGAAAGATACTGTTGCATATCACTAATAACCAAACCCAACGCTCGACTCCTCCATAAACATATTCATGCCAACACTCTTCAAACGTAGGTAATTTTTCTACATTTTTAGCTTTTAGTTTTTCGACAAGTTTATCGTAATAGGCTTCACGGAACACTTGCTTTTCTAATTTACGTCGAGTTTCAAGTGGTACATGTGAGATAACGAATTGACCCATATCTTGAGGACCGCAGCCGATACCTACTACTTCCCAATCCATGAGTTTAACATCTCCAAAGATTACCTTATTACTATCTTTCTTTCTTGCAACCATAAAGTTCCCTGGGTGGAAGTCCCCATGGACGAGTGTAAAGGCTGTATTATGAATACGATTTTGAAAATCATCCCAATTGACTTTGGTTAATGACGCTTCTAGCAAACTTACGAATTTCGAATCCCACCCGGAGATACTCATTGTTCCACTTTTCCATATATTGTGAACCAGAGATTGAGAGGCTTGCCAAGTATCTTTGCCTTCTCCTCGATACCAATCGTGGCCACGCAACCAATCTAAATCCTTATCTTGAGCCATCGCTGCATCGTTCCAGTACGTAGCATGAAGATCAGCACCACATTCAAAAGCCTTCGACATAAGTTCTTCGATTTTATCTCCGGAAAGCATAAGTGGATCCATTTCTCCTTTTTGTGTCTTTTCCCAATTTAAAGGTGAGTGTGCTGTAAAGTACAGACCCAACTGTGCATAATCATAACCATCTCTATTCAAAACAGAAAGGTCTTCAAGAACAATTGCTTTAGTACCTGCTTTCATATTTCCTTCCGAATAAAAAGTACGAGGAACTATATTTTGGATCTTACGGGCAAATTGTTCATAAAATAAAGCTTCTCGTGGTAACCCCAATGCAGCAGCTTGCTCTGTACGCTCGGAATTTACTTTAAGAATATACGAAGTAGTTAAGCCGTTGTTATAGGTCACCATTAATCGATTCATTACACCACTATTTCCACCTGCTCCTTTCATAGATTCCAATGCGCAGCTCTCAATTGTGGGATCTTTTAATTTTTCTCGAAGG